ATTAGTAATCCGTATAGTGATCCGAATAGAGAAATGTTATAGAGAATAGAGTGGAGAATAGCGGTCCGTATGGTAACAGAGAGCAGAATAGAAATAGCGATCCGAATAGTGATAGGGGATAGACTAGGACTGTGATCAGAATAGTATAGAGGATATAGAATTAGCGATCATTTACACGTCAGGCGACATCCTATATATGCGTTTCTTCTAGGGCCACGTGGTCTGCTTAATTCGATAATGGGATGGCTTGTGATTGCTTATTGGCGACCTATGTTCAAACTCATGTGTCGGCAGCGACACTTTATTCCTATATAACAACATGACATCACTACATAATAATCATACTTATTATAAAACCCAGGTTGTGTGTGTGTGTGTGTGTGTCTGTTCGTTTATATATTGGATCGGATTTCCTACATTTTTCAACCTATTTCAACAAAACTTCACAGGACTACGTAAAATTACCTTGTGGTGGTTCTAACAGCGCCCAAAATTGGAAAAACACAATTGTTTTTGCACGAAATCAATTTGAAAGCACGATTAAGAGTCATTAATGTCGCCAGAATGAAAGGGGGACAACTCATATCGAGTTATACTTATTATAAAACGCAGGCTGTTTGTGTGTGTGTGTGTGTGTGTGTTCGTTTATATATGGGATCGGATTTCCTACATTTTTCAACCGATTTCAACAAAACTTCACTTTTTTGGCAGGTAGTGTTTCTTATTGTCTTGCACACTTTTTTTTTTTTTTTTTACATTCAGAATGCTTTAAAAATTCCATTTACGAGACAATTGTTTATAATAAAATTCTATTCAATCGGTAGACGCATAACGATTGAAAACAATGTTTTTGTTTGAGTTTGGGTTTGACCAATTCGTAAAAAAAAAAAAAAAAAAAAAACTAATTAAGACATGCGTGTCCGTCAACCTTAAACAATAATCTTTGTCAATTTTATTTTTCAGTCTTTATGATGGTCGATACTTGATCTATCTTTTACTGTTACATCCCCAGGCAACGCTGGGCTCTACTGCTAGTCCATAATATTACGGTTATTTTCATTGAACATGCAAGAATCAAATATTCCGTGTGTTAATTTTGTGATGTCAAAGAACACTTGGTGTCACTTTTATAATGTCTATGAATACTCGTTGTCACTTTCGTAATGCTCGTTGTAGTAGAGACTTTGTAATCGCAGATACAACTATAGTACACCTTTGAACAATACTGGTGTCAGACGCCTTCGAATACCAATCGCACTAATAGTACTTGCTCGATAATACTCGCTCGAAAACTAACCATCGTATAGTGATCTGAATCGAGAAATAGTATAGTGAATAGAGTAGAGAATAGTGGTCCGTATAGTAATAGAGAATAGACTAGAAATAGCGATCCGTATAGTAATAGAGGATAGACTAGAAATGGCGATAAATTAGACGTCATGCGACTTCCTACTTATGCGTTTCCTCTATGTTCGTGATCCACTTAATTCAATAATGCGATTGTCTGTATTTGCTCACTGGCGATCTGTGTTCAAACTCAAGTGTCGGCAGCGACACTTTATTCCTATATAACAGATCGTATAGAAAGACAAAATATATCTCAGAGATGCTACTTGGTTTCAGTGAAAGAAAGAAAGAAAGAAAGAAAGAAATAGAGATAGAAATGTTTAACGTCTTCTACTAATACCTAATAAATAACGGACGATTTCGTTTTGATCATGTGAGAAGATAAAAGACATAGCAAAGACGTCGCTTGCTTTCGGCGAGAAGATGAAAGAAAAAAGAAAAGATAGAAGTGTTTAACGTCTGTTTCCTTGAAATAGAAACAGTGGCCAATTTCAAACCTTGAAAATTTGTTGAAGTTAAACTTGGCCCACGTCAAATTTTCGTACAGTTCAAGCGCCCTCTGTGCCAACTCAATTTCACTGCGGAACGACACGAACATGGATACGTCATCGGCGTACGCAGAAAACCTTGCTCAAGTGCATCCAGGTACAGCAAATCCATGTAGGGCCGGACTGCATACACTGTTCCTTAGCCGACCGTGACAGTACAAAAGCGCGCGACAGGTTCCCGTTCACCTGTACCACAGCCTTTAGTGATACAGGAGGCAGATCAACTTGTCAGGTTTGAATCTTTCCTATTCCTGTTTCCCTGATAGCTATAATCTTAAACTATTCAAATGTAATGTCAATCGATATCTCCAGTTGCCTTGATATATCCACTATCCTCCTCTTCATCCTTTCCGCTATCACTCCTATCTGCTCTCGTTCCAAATCCTCTGTAACCCCTTGCGTGCTGGTGGCTTCCCGCCTTGTTTGGGGTGTAATGCTTAAAAAAAATTGTATTTTCTTAAAATAAATCCCTGTAAAAATACTACAACTGGTAAAAAGTTTTGGGGAACCAAGGAACGAACAAGGTTGCTGTGGCCCTATCCTGAAAAGTCAGGAGCATGAGCCACAGATGTTGAAGGGTGGAAAAATAGTGGTCAAAGAGAGTTTGACGAGGCCATTCGCATAGATTCAATTTTGATCGATAAAATCTGCGCGACGGAGAAGCCCACACACGTCCGGCAGGCCAAGTTTGACAGATCTCGCCTGTTATAATAATACCGTTTGAGCCAAGATGAAGGCATTTCTGGCTAAGTGGTAGATGTTCAAATTAGTGGATGCCAGGGTGCGAACTCGCATTGTATAATAAAGCGGCCGTGCGATAATGTATAACGTTTTGGGGTCGAAAGGAAACAATCAGAAAGAGCAAGCGAGTGTGAAGAAAGTGAAAAAGCATGAGAGGGTGAAAAGAAAGAAAAGCATAAAGACGGGTCAAAAAGAAGAAGAAAAAAAAAGAGAGAAGAGAAAGAAAAATATGTAAGAAAGAGAAAAGATAGAAAAAGGAAAAGAAAAAAGGAGAAAGAAATTAAAAAGAAAGAAGAGAAAATGTTTAAAAGGACGCTTTTCTAGAAGAAAAACAATAGAAGAAAAAAACAGTAAAAAAAAAAGGATGTAAAGAGGCAAAGATCGATCTTTTAAGAGCGGGAAAAATGGAAGGCAGCAGATGAGATAAATAAAAGATGGTAAAAAAGAGAAAAATAGAAGATAGACAGAAAATGAACGAAAGAAAGAGAAAGAAAGCTAAAAGATGGCTTAATAAAAATTGTTCTCATTAACTGAATGAAATTATCTTTGGTGTTTAATGTCGGATGTTATTTGTGGTGATGTGGGTACAATATTAAGTGCCTTTTTAGATTTTATCATCAACCTGGCAAACACGAATATAAAAGATAAATGGGAAATTGTTGTAGAAAATGCAGAGAGGAGAGAAAGAAAGGGAGGAGCAGAATAAGAGAAAAAAAATATAACATAGGAACAAGTGGGGGGTGAGTGAAGAGACTACAAAAACAGGGCTACGCAAGGTATTGAGAAAATTGGAAATTATACAAAAGAAGGGAATGGAGAGGTGAGTGTGAGACGTGAATATCGAAAACGGAAGAGAAAGAGAAAAAGGCAGAGGGAGAAGAAAGAAAAGACAGAGAAAAATGAGAGTGCCAGGGGGGAAAATAATCTAAAGAGAGAGAGAGAGAGTGGGGGAATGAGAGGGAGGAAAATGTAAAATGGGTAAGAATGGGAGGAGGAGAGACGAAAATAAAAAGACAGGAAGAGAAAGAGATAGAGGGGGGGCGTAAAGTATGACAGAATTGTAATATGAGTGAGAAAAAATAAAACCACAGTGAGGGAAGAGAGAAGGAGGCAAAGAGAGGGAAAAACAGATACATTAGGGTAGAAGGAGAGTATAATTATAAACAAGCAAAAAACTCAGAAGATTACCATATATATATATATATATATATATATATATATATATATATATATATATATATATATATATATATATATATATATATATATATATATATATAGAGAGAGAGAGAGAGAGAGAGAGAAAAGAGAGAGAGGTGAGGGTGAGTGCGTGAGAGAGATAGAGATAAATAAGTAGGGAATACATAAAGAAAGAAGACACACTTGAGTAGATTCATAATGACATCAAGAGAAGAGAATGCAGACGATAGAAGTAGGAGAGAGAAGTAAAGAAAATGAGAGGAAAAGTCGGAGATACAGATAAATTGATATATATATATATATATATATATATATAGAGAGAGAGAGAGAGAGACAGAGAGAGAGAGACAGAGAGAGAGAGACAGAGAGAGAGAGACAGAGAGAGAGACAGAGAGAGAAATAAGAGGGAGAGAAAATTATCAAATAAGAGAGAATGAGTGTATGAGAGATGACGATAGAGAAAAAATTGGGAAGAGAAGAGGAGAGGAAAGGAAATAGAATGGAGGGGGAATGGATGGATGAGTGAGGTGAGAAAAAAAAAATGAAATGACAGAGGAAAGAGGTGTAAAGAGAAAGACATAACATATATATATATATATATATATATATATATATATATATATATATATATAAAACTCCGAACTCTTTCTGTTAGGGCGGCTAGCCAGTCCCCGTGGCTTTTGCCTGCTCAGTCTTATTTATGTTATTTAAACACCCACAGAGTCCACCTGTGATTTTTACTGCAACTATGATTAGCGAACCTTAGTTACGGTTTCTGGGAAAGAACGCACAATCTGGCGTGATCAGAAGTTTGAACAACGCCAGTACGCTCACACCCTCGGTCACGATGTTTTGTGACTTTGTGCTATAGCACAACCATCGATTTTGAGCAGTTCCGTCCACCCACTTTCACTCACACTGTTTGGGTCGTCGATCCGTGGCATAGTTTTCAGGCAATTTCCAACATACCGCACGCAGTACCTGCTCGCCAAACAGATAACGTCACCTTTTTTAATCAGCCATGATGAGATGGTCACATGGTCACACACACACACACACACACACACACACACACACACACACACACACACACACACACACATATTTATGCTCACACATAAGCACACACATATAGGCACACACACAGACACTTAGGCATAAGTTGAAAACCCGGTTCCAGTACGATCACCGAAGTTAAGCAAGGTCGAGCCTGGTCGGTACCTACACGGGTGACCGCTTGGGAATATCCGGTGCTACAAACTTGGGCGTGCAGTTGGTGTAATGAATAATGGCGCGAATTTGTTAATCGCCGGGGAGCCGAGTTTCGATTCCCGTTAGGTTCATTATATTTCCTAACGTGCAAATATCCTTGGGAAAGGCACGAATCCACATCTTCCATCCCAGTTATGGTGAAAACTATAGAAAATTTAGAGCCAAAATTCAATAAAATATTAAACCATGAAGAATATTTTCTTAAATTTTTAATATTCCCGAATACTTAAAAGGCGTTCGCGTTATATTCCTCAAATATTTTAAAAGGATTTTTAATATTGTCCAACAATATCAGATAAAAATCTATCTATCACCAAGCTATTTCGGAGGTTATAAAAAGTTGTCAACATAAATAAACAATTTACCGTCGTGTAAATGCATTTCTGTGATAAACTTAAAAAAAAAATAGTTGTTTCAAACCAGATTAATTCTACTTTAAATTAGCTAATATTCCTCAAATAAAGTTTAGGAAAAATATATATTTTTGGAAGATTTTTAATAAGGAGATTTACACTTTTATAACACTTTTCTAAAAATGGCGCTAAATAACAGACAAGTTGCCTGTCTCCAACTTTATTTTTCTCAGCCGAATGTCTATCCGAAGACAGGACCCCGACAGAGTCACCCTCCGCCTGAAGACAGGGGTCTTGTCACCCTCTCCCCGAGGACAGAGATTTTTTTTCCTTGTGGCGACCCTGGGACTAACTACGACGTACTATTACGTCATATTACTGTCGGGTTTAGTTTGGTTGTTTTAGTTTAGCAGCATATCAACACCTCTATGGGTTATTCAATCTAAATATTTTAAACACAATTTTACACCTTTTGTACATCATTTTATACTTTACATGTAAACGTGTTTTATAGATATATAGTTTGTAGATGATCTATTGTAGGTGTTATATTTTGTTATAAACCTCTCTCTTTAAGGTACCACATTATGTTGACGGTTTCAGTATTTTCAAATTGTTTTCTTACTAGGTATCTCCATCATTTTGGGATAAATTTTTGATACCTAAAGTTTAAAATGAATTTTTAAAAATGAAAGAAACATTTTCGAAGATTTCCTTATAGCTTTAATTGAAAGCTCAAGGATTAAATTTATTATTTCCAGTAAGTAAAATATTCTGGTGTATTTCAAATAGAAATTATGTAGATTGGAATGTCAAATTTAATTTCGATTTATAAAAATTTTCTTAAAAGCGGCTATTTTCTTAATTTTAAGAAATTTGTAAGCAGAAAAAAATTATTGATTTTAAAATTCTTTCAATATATATATATATATATATATATATATATATATATATATATATATATATATTTCTGACACGTTGAGTAAAATTAGAAAATTTAATGTTAAATTAATCTGATTTGAAATAAATATTACATACTTATAGCATAAAAAGTAATATACAACTATTTTTTATTGATTAGTGCTGTGTATCATAGCTTATCTGAGGCTATAATGGATGGCCGATGAGAGACGAAGCGATGACAGCTAGTATGGCTGGTTAGACTTGATACAAAATTTAAGAAATCTAAGTGAACGCCTTTTTTGTTAACTGCCTTGTAACTTTTACAAATGAACTTATTTTTTGCAATTATCTAACATTTTATTGAATTGTATTTACCTTTCGAAGATGCTTTATGCAAAAATAAAAAAAATAAAATACTATAAAATTTTCCTAAATTAATTTCTCTGTAAAGAGACAAAACTCTTAGATCACGTGGCCGTTTCATAATAATATCACGTTTAGACATTCATAGATGAAAATAGGGAACAAACTATGTAAAAAATAAGAAATAAAAAATTATTTTAAAAATAGAATTGCGTAACTACGTTTATTAATCTTTTCAATTTTGGATTCGTAAATTTAATTTCCACTTAATTATTATATCATATTCAGGCAATAGCCCAATACAGAATTTTATACGATTTTAAACTATTATAAAATATTATAATTAAAATTTAAAGAAATATGAAAAAATTCTTGTAAAAATTCATTATTCATCGGAAAAAATTTACTTCTTCAGACAATAATGCTCTTAATATAACTTATTTACAAAAGCAATTAAAAAACTTTTCTAATTAAATAATGTCATAGTTTTATTGCATTCATTATTTTTCAGTTCAGAGTAGATATTCATTTAGAATGGTGCAAATTTGAAAAAAAAAAGAAAAAAAAGATTACGTGACTTAGATTCTCCGAGGAGTCCTACGTTTAACGCATCAATAAAATTTAGGAAATAGAAAGTTTTTTTGCGAAATTTCATGAAATTAAGTAAGTGGGGAGTAACATATGTATATATATATATATATATATATATATATATATATGTATATATATTTCACTCGGGCAGCTTCTTCCCATGAACCGCTGCATGGTGGAACAGACTCCCAAGAGGATGCTTCCCCGTCCACTAGATTTCAGTATTAGATAACCTATAGAGATAGATACGCCGATAAACAAAAACAACCAGGATGACATCAAGCGGAACTCGTATATACAATCAGTCAAGATGCTGGAAAAATGGTCGGTGTCCTGTACCGCCCCAGTAAGTACCTGATTCGTCCTGCTATCCTCAACCCATACAAGAGCCAGATCAGGTCGATAATGGAGTAACGCTGTCATATATAGACAGGATCTGCCCAGTCCAAAAGAATCTCGTCATCTTTGTGGGTGAATTATTTCCCACGCTAAAAACCCTTGCCCACAGACGTTACAAGCCTCTCGCTGCTCTATCACTATTTCCATGGAAATTATTCCGACGACATTCATTCCTTAGTTTCCCCAAGCTTGTTGTTCATGATAACGGTCGTCTTTGAGTATAGAATCCAGAGGTTAGCAGTGAATATTTCGAAGACAGTAGGGAAGAGTAGTTCAGGTTAGCAGTGGATATCCCGGTAAAGTAGCAGTAGTTCTTCCTTCTATTCTTTCACCTGACAAGTTGCCACTGGACATTCGGAGAGAGTAAACAAAATGGCCGCCTCTATACACGACGGATTGAATATTTTACGTCTTCTGATTGGTTAACCTTCTATTGGTGGACTATAAAATGAGTCAGCTCATTTTGACTGGCTCACTAGTAAACAAAACACAAAAAACTGCAACAAATCCACTATACCACCCACATTGTAGCGAGCGACCTTCATTTCCTTCGTATATCAATGCCGAGATGTAAGTTCCACTCAAACAGCTTCTTCTTGCGAACCGTTGGTCTGTGGAACCCAAGAGGATGCTTCCCCGATTCTTACAATCTTAACATGTTCAAGTTTAGTGCTACCCGTTATCTTCATTATGAATGGAAACTGTTTTTCTTACTATGTAGCCCTTTACCTAGAGTGGCCCTTGCGACTTTATTGCTAAAAAAAAAAAAAACAGAAAAAAAGAGGCATACTAAAAATGCTGTTCAATTATTGAATAACGGTTCGAATTTGGCACTCGAAGAACCTAGTTCCTGTTCCAGTCGGCTTTGTTACATTCACTTACGAGCAAATATCTTTAGGAAAGGTTTGAAAGGTCTTCTCCTCCAGCTATGGGTTAATTGTTAGTATCGGTAGAGACTCAATAGCTTCATCCACCGCAAGGAAAGTTGGTTCTTTGTATCGTACCAGAAAGTTTTTCTCGTCTGAGGCCATCCTTCAAATCTATAAATCAACCATCCGTCCTTGCATGGAATATTGCTGTCATATATGGACTGGTGCCTCCGCTGTACATTTCAAGATTCTCGACAAAATCCAGAGACAAATATGCAATGTGATAGGTCCTGATCTAGCGTCTAGTCTACAGTCGCTCTCTCACAGACGTGCTGTGGCTTCCCTCTGTCTTTACAGTTTAGAAAGTGTGGGTGAATTATTTCCCGCCCTCCAAACCCTTGCCCACAAAGGTTGCAAGCCTCTCGCTACTCTATTGCTATTTCCATGGAAATTATTCAGACGAATTTCATTCCTTAGTTCTCCCAAGCTAAGATCCACCATGCCTCCCACTTTTTAACGAACGACCTTCATTTCCTTCGTATATCAACCATCCGTTCCTGCATGGAATATTGCTGTCATATATAGTCTGGTTCCCCCGCTGTAAGTCTCGATGTGCTCGACAAAATCCACAGACGGATATGCAATGTGATAGGTCCTGATCTGGCATCTTATCTACAGTCGCTTTCTCACAGACGTGCCGTGGCTTGCCTCTACTCTTCTATAAATATTTTCACGGCAACTGTTCCGACGAGTTGCTTTTTCTGGTTCCCAGACTGTATGAATTTAAGCGAGCTACTAGGTTGGCATCTCGGTCCCACCGTTTCACTGTCGAAACGGTTAAATGTTACCGTCTCTTCTACTCCAACAGCTTCTTCTCGCACTTCCCGCCTGTGGAATTCTATTCCTCTCACTCGCTTCCCTGATAACTATAATCTTCAAATATTTAAATGTAATGTCAATCGACATCTGATACCATGATCTTGTTCCCTATCCTTCTCTTTATCCTCTCCCCAAACAGGACTCTTTACTCTTGTTCTCTAGCATCTGTAAGCCCTTGCGTGCTAGTGGCACTCCGGCTTTGCTTGGGGTAAAATGGTTTTAAAAAAAACTCCAAATATTTCTTACGATTTAAAAATATTTTCTGGCTTTAAATAACCTGCACAAGGTTGATATGTTAACCATGTTTGCCGTAGTCTTTGAATATAGAATCCAGTGAAGCACGTAATGTGTTCAATATCAGAGGTCGGCAGTGAAGATTCGGAGAAAGTAGCAGCTGTTAAGTAATTATTTAAGTCTTCGATATCAGAGGTTGGCAGTGAAGATATTTTGGGAGAAAAAACAAAATGGCTGCCTTTATAAACGTCGGATTGAATATTTTGAGCTTTCTGATTGGTTAACCCGTTTCTTGGTGAACTATAAAATGAGTCAGCTCATTTTGGTTGGCTCACTAGTACATACATATATCCAAAAATCTGTAACATGATAAGCCATAAAACAAATCAATCCTGAAGAGTCGTCATGATTCATAGTTATTTAAAGTTCGGATGTATTCTACGTAAACGATAGGGGAAGTATCAGTTAGATTCTCGCTGCTCAATTGCAATTTCCCTGGCAGAAGTTCAGACGAGAAAGAGTTCACCTTTAATAGCTAGGATCCACCATGCCACGTACACAGAGTTGAATCATGCTTATTTTATTTGAATTCCAGTAGTAAAGAGAAAGTTCTACTTAGCTTCTTCTTCACAACTGCTACTTGGTAGAATAGATTCAATTAGGATGCTTCCCTGATCACTACAATCTTAATTTCTTCAAGTTTTAGGTCATTCATTATCTATCCTACATATCCTCATAATGTGGACTTCTTACTCCCCGCTCTTCATGTTCTTAGAAAAATCTCATTGTAACCTCTGCTCTGAGTGGCTCTTGGGTCTTCTACTGCGAAAACAATAGCATATAGAAAACAATGTTATATCAGTCTGGATAGTTTGAACTGGAAAAGCGAAACCAATATAAAGTCTAACCAGTTCTGTTTTTAATCACCTATAATAAAACAACACCTACACAAATTATCGGCTCCAGTTAGTCTTAAGCATGCTTATTTTATTTGAATTCCAATAGTCAGGAGTAAGTTCTACTTATCCTCTTCTTCACAACTGCTATTGGTGGAAGAGATTCCAATAGGATGCTTCCCTGATTACTACAATCTTAACTTTTTCAAGTTTTGGGTCATTCATTATCTATCCTACATATCCTCATAATATGGACTTCTTACTTCCCCCCACTCTTTATGTTCTTACAACAATTTCATTCTAACCTCTACTCTGAGTGGCTCTTGGGTCTTCTACTAGATAAACAATAGCATATAGAAAACAATGTCATATCAATCTGCTTTGAACTGAAAAGGCGAAGCCAATATAAAGTTTAATCAGTTCTGTTTTTAATCAACTATAATAAAACAACACCTACACAAATTATCGGCTACAGTTAGTCTTCACCATTTCATAAAAAAAGAGAAACAAAAGATGTACCGAAAGGCAGAAGGGGAGTAAATGGTGGCTATGAACTGGCTTCCGTCTTTATCAATGTACTGCCTTTTTTTTTTTAAAGCAACAATTCATGTATAATCTCCTGTCGTAAAACCACGCCAGTCCGTCATCCGATACGGGACATATAGAAATTAATGATCTACTTAACGGAAACTAGTCCCTTGGTTATTTGATTTGTTTATATATATATATATATATATATATATATATATTTTTTTTTTTTTTTCTGTGCGTGGGGGTGCCGTACCAAGCTCCATGCCAACGAAGACTGAATACGAGAAGGCTTGAAGGGTCGGAATTACGTCATGAAGACAACTGGAAATGTTGTTTATAATCAAACAATGATAAGAACACACCGGTATTCGCTTTATAGGGGAAAAGAAAATGAAGTAAAACTATAAGGAAATAAAAGAATCGAAAAACTAATGATCAAGAAATAAGACAATAAAAAAGGGGGAGATATTAAATATTGAGTGTAAAATGATTTTTTCCGTGGGAGAAGCTGTGATGAAAAAGAAAGAAAGAAAAAAAGAATCCCAATGAATAAATTCACAATATAATTTGACAATGATATATAGCGCTAGAAAGAACTTAATACAGTAAATATATGGATAAAGGAAAAAAAAGAAGAAGAAATCCTCACAGAATTAACATGTACACATTTACAAACATACGATAGTGTCGCATACATATACTAACACGAAAATAACTATATACTGTATTTTATTTTATTTTATATTAAACATTGAAGATGACTTACAAGGTATTATGATTAAGCTTTTTATTACAATTTTTCTTGCTTTCGAAAGGGCACGGATCCACGGACCATTTACAGGAGGAGAAGGGGTAGATTTATAACTTTCCCAAAGGGAATTGCACGTAAGTGAATATAACGAACCTAACTGCAATTGGAACTCGGCTCTCCGATTAACAATTCCGAGTCGTTATCCATTACACCATCTGCACATCCAAGCTTAACGGTATTCTTCAGCGATAAATCATCTAGGTGCCTACCAGGTTCAACATTGCTTCGCTTCGGTGATCGTACGGGATCCAGTATTTCAACGTGATGTGGCCGTAAGACTTGATGATTTAGCCCCTAAAGCCCAAGTTATAAATGAGGCATTAGTGGCCTGAACCTCTCACATTCTTGTTCTTTCTGGAGCTTAGTATATTTTTTGAACTTGTTAAATTTTTTGACCTTGATATTATGGTCACCAGGAATAATAATAATAATAATAATAATAATAATGTCCAGATCCGAAGGAGGCAGAGGATTAGTTCAACTAGAACTCTTTCTCGAAAAAACAATCAGTCTTCAAAGATACCTGGAAACTACAGAAAACAAGATGATGTTTTGTGTCAAAGAACGTGAAAGCAATAAAAAAAATTATTCAGCAATAAAGAAGGGCAACAAATTCAAAAGGGAATTTAAAGTGGGGGAGGGTGTGCAAATAAAGCATAATACACCTACGGCACAGCAAAGACCCCCCCCAAAAAAAAAAAAAAAGAAAAAACAAATGCGATGTACCAAATGCAGAAACGATGTCAAGATAAGCATTGTCAATAATCTGCCCGTATTAAATAAACTGATGTAGACACCCCCCGTACCCATCTGTAGTTACGTAGTGCAGGGTAAAAAGCTGGAACCGAAGGATTTATTCTCGCTGCAAAGGACCAATGCTTGCGAACTAGAAATTACCAAGCACACATACTGAAAAATTGTGTTAACCCGAAATGCAGATTCTGTGATAAATATTCAGAAACAGTTGACCATTTTGTATCAGGTTGCAGTGTTTTTATATTCCACTGAATATAAAAATAGGCACGGTAGGGTGAGCCAATATATGCACTGGAAAATATGCAAATTTTACTGGAAGAAAATTGCAAGACAATGGTATGAACCTCACCCAGACCCAGTTACAGACAGAGAACCTGTAACAATTTTATGGGACTTTACAATACACACACACACACACACACACACACACACAGAGGGGGGGAGAGAGAGAGAGAGAGAGAGAGAGAGAGAGAGAGAACAATTAAAGCTAATCGCCAGATATCGTGATCAAAGACCACAAAAACAAAATGTGCTTTCTTATTGACATGACAGTCCCTGCAGATAGAAGTGCATCTTTGCAGATCTTCAAAAAGCTCAAAATACAAGGAGCTTGAAGCGGAAATCTAAAAAAAAAAAAAATGTGACGTACGAGGACATTAATAATTCCAGATGTAGTTGGAGCCCTCAGTTTATTGGAAAAGGTTCCGATCGACTCATTGAAGGGATTTCTGTTAGCCTATATCTTAAAAAAAAAATACAAAAAAAAAAAAGTAATTACAAGTACAGCTTACACATTACGAAGAGATTTATCAATGTAAAATCTGTGTGATATTATTTTTTTTTCATGAAGACATTTCTGAGCTTCGGTCTCTGGTTGGGACCCGGAAGGAAATGCGTATACAGCTGAAATCAAAGGAAATAATAATAATAATATATAACTATTCATTGGTACCAGCTGATCCATCATTTCTAAGTATGATTCATTACACTGCTATCTTTAAACAGCTTCCTGTTAAGTTGTACTGTCAGCTTACTTTTTATATACAGTTTTATTTGCTTTTGTAATGTTTTTAACATACTGGCAGCTTGCTTTACACATTTCATGCTCAAATACTCATATACACTGGAGAAATGAGAGTGCATCTGTCATGCCCGGCGTCTTTTATGTGACCAAATACTATCTATCTATCTATCTATCTATCTATCTATCTATCTATCGTAAATGTGCTTTCCGGAAGAAAAGTGCTCACTATTGAGGAATTATCCGATGTAGATATAGAAAGTATGGACGCAGAAATCAGTACTGGATCAAGACTGGGCGCTTCACACTTTAAGTGTTCATCGTGTGTCTGTGTGTGGGGGTTATATATATTAATAGATAATACCGAAATACTATACAGCTCTCACTGCAAGAAATGAATCGAAATTCTAGTATTCCTTATCATACAAAAGAAATAACTCATGTATTAAATATCTTTCAGCTCAGGAGATGTTATTTTAAAGTGTGTATAAAATATTTAATATGGCTGCAAAATAATAAGAAATCATTTAAATGTAAAATCTATTTGCTACATGCTTTTCAGTTGAGCTCTGATTTTAGCCATTACACCAGACATCACTTTCAATAGATTAGAATTCGACAACAGTAATCTATTATCTAGCCAACAAAATATTATCTCGCACATGGACAACACCCAGTTCTTGATCATAACTGAGTGAAAACAAAAGCAAAACAAAATTTTGATACTAATATAAAACATATTATTCGAAAATTGAAAAAATGCAAGTAAATACTTAGACAGAGCTTATCTCCTGAATTTGACAAAACTTGTTTATATATATATATATATATATATATATATATATATATATATATATATATAAAGAAGTTCAGAGCAGATAACATTAGAAAGATTTTAGAGTTGCATGAAAATAAGTAAATACAACTTTTAAAAACGCACTATCCAGACGGGCTAAACCATAAATTTAACAATATAGATAGTATTAATATATAACCCTAAAAATCAGGACCTACCCACATTTCTCACCCATACAACACAGACATGCTTACGGAGGTATCGAGGAATCACACTTATACACCCACCCACACGAATATACACACTTACACACATCATACTCACTCACTCCCTAATGAGCCAAATGATAACACGCACCCATAGTAATATACACACTTACACACATCATACTCACTCACTCCCTCATGAGCCAAATAACACACACACTTAACAGAGACACATCCCTTTTCCAGGAACCAATAAAACTGTCAAAATGGTCACGGGAATTCAGAGCAGCATGAATCCATCCAGCTCTTATCTTAAATAACAACTTAAAAGAGACTGTTTGACCAACACAAGGACTGACCAAATTCATGTTAAAAAGATAAACAAATAAAAAAACAAATGAAAACAACAGACAAAAATTCATTTTCTCCATCAAGACATTCATTTCTGTAGTTCATTGCTACCAGCTAGCAGAATTTTTTTCTCCTGATGATGGTCATGCTGGCCGTAACTAGTCTAGGAATCTAAATGAAATAATAATAAAAACGAAAGAATATTAATATACAACCCAGTGTGTCTGAAGATTTTGATTTTTTAATATATTTTATTGTTCAATATATATATATATATATATATATATATATATATATATATATATATATATAAATATAAAAAAAGGTTAATGGTCAGAGTTGAATCAGACTAGGAAACAGTGGTATTAAAACGTGCCCATTACACGTGTGAAAAAAAATAGCAAAATAAAAAGTAAAAATAACATGTAGAGCTTTTAACTTTCAAAATCAAGGGGCCAATTGAATCCTCTACCTTGGTTTCAATCTTACGGTATCCTTAGGCGATGTTTATCAAATGACTACTTTAACGCTTTATTTTATTTTTTTTTAAACTAATGAACGATATATTATTGCTTTCAAAAAATCAATAAACAAACGCACGACGCTAGGTGTCATAGAAATGGAGGAGGGGGTTGTGAAGAAGAAGAGGAAGAGAAGAAAAGTAAGTATATTGTAAATGTATGGTTTGTGGTTTAGTTGAAATGTACATTTATTTTTATTTAACCAGCCTCATATGTGCTTAAGAGGAATTTTCTGATATGCAATCAAGGACTTAAACCTCGGGTTTTTGGTTTAAAAGGTTCTTCGGATCCGGAAATGTCATAATCCCTCATTTTTCCTGTTGGTAGATGATGCAAATACAGTTTTGGTTATTGTAAGTTCTTGCCTTTTAAAAAAACTTTCCACCTTACAATCAGATCACTGTTGCTTTTTTCTTTTAAATTCCACACATAGTTTAGTAGAGTACCTAAGATTTGCTAGCTTAAATGATGACCTATGATTGTACCATCTACATTTGAAAGTACCTTCAGTACATCCTATGTACGTTTTATTTTGGTCATTAATATGTATTACGTCTGCTTTATAAATTATAGTTTCTGTTTTACAAGCTCCATTTAATGGACATCTATTCTTATTTCTGCAGTTGCAGAAATTACTAGTGTTAACTATATTTTCCTGCGTGTTAGTTTTGAAATTTCTGACGTTTTGTATATTTATTATTGTTTCTAAATTACTAGTTCAACTGTAACTTAATTTAACTTCCTTTTATTGAATATCTTATGTAATTCTGAATTTTTAGAAAAGAGTTTAGTAAGTAACTTGAAAAATAATTTCCCTATTTTACATTTTGCCTCTAAGTTAAAGGGGAGTTAAACTAAATGATATTTTTTCTTTTCCTCGAATTGTTCTTCGTATGTTGTTTAATTTAAGGCTTAAATTCTAATTTGGCTTTGCGACACTCTACCTTTGCGTCTTTCTCATATTCTTTATTTATATCCTAAAAATATTCTACTAGAAGAGTTTCTGGATAACCTAGACTCTATTCCTTTAGTGATATGCTAAAGGAATAGAGAGTCTAGGTTATATATATATATATATATATATATATATATATATATATATATATATATATATATATATGCGCAGTACTTAGAGGAAAGTGCTCAATATCAGTGATTGATAGAGCTAGCATATTCTTTTGTATGGAAATGAGTTTGTGACCCTGAGTTCCGCGCTTTTGCGCTCATCAGACAAACTGGTTTATTTTTTAAAATTGGATCTATTTATGCTTATTTGTGTTTGATCTTGTTTGGTGGTATGTAAATTTTCTTCTTTGTTTGGTTGGGTTGATACTCTCACACACATAGACGCACATACATATAGGTGAACTAAAATGCCCACACCTGTATGTATGTGTGTCTAAATATTTATATATTTTAAAGAGTAGAAGGTTTTTGAATTTAATTTATTTTCTTTTATTTTTTTAACATTTTTATAGAAAGTATGTTAGCTTGGGAAAGAAGCATATCTTTTAGGAAAGGAGATATTTGAAAAAAATTTGTGGCGCATATTTACATTTTGGTAAGATTTGATAGGAAATTTCCGTAAGTTACTTTCTCTTAACATGAGTCCAGCATTCTTTAAATCGAAGTTGTGACTGAACTTTCTATGTATAACAGATATATTTGATTAACTGTTATGTATAAGAAAAGAGAAAAGCCAACAACTAATAACTTCAAATATCAACAAAATCTGCAGATATATATATATATATATATATATATATATATATATATATATATATATATATATGTGTGTGTGTGTGTGTGAAAATATAGAAAAATAGGAAGGAACTGGTTAGGTAAATAATCCAAAGTCCCTTAGTATTTTAGTTATTATTTTTAAAAATAGTGCTCGATACAAAAGTAGAGCATAAATATAATTATTTATTTAAAAAAAAACAATTAGCCCTAGCTGTTACCATGGAAATTTTGATTTCAATTTTTAAAACACGTAAATTTCAGCAACACGTTATTCCAAAAAAAATTTCGCTTGAAGATGGAACAGAGCCTATTTTAACTCAATTTAATTTAAATAATTTAAATAATTATATTGAAGTTTTCGGCTCTTGTTTTGAAACATGGGACTTCTTATGTCGCGATTTGGAATCATACTTTTAAATATATATATATATATATATATATATATATATATATATATATATATATATATATATATATATATCGGATGTAACAGCAGAATTGTTCATCCCACAAAATGTTTAATATCTAAAAACCACTGAACTAATTGAATTTCATTTTTCCGGGTTTTCAAATAGGACGTTTAGCTATCATTTGTCGTAAGAATAACAGAAAAACTCTCTGACTTATTCAGCTATAAAGAAAACAGCCTAAAATCGTTTTGTGTCAGCCCCACCCTATCAACCGAGCAATGGTGAGAGGAAAAAGATCATTCAGGCCTTTAGTAATGGTGCCAACATTCATACTCTGGCTTCTATCTTCAAAGACTATTCAGTCTATTCAAGAACCATCAAGAGAACAGTGAAAAAGTTTAAAAAAGAGAGAACAGTAGGGAGGAAAACTGGATCAGAAGGTCACAAGAGGAAGAGGGATGATCATTTCAACTTTTAATTAGAAAAGATCCAACTCAATCCATGAGACGTTTGGCACTTGAAAGCGTAGTTTCACTTATGTCAGTCCATAGAGCAGTGAAAAAGACTTGAAAATGAAATCATACGAGAAAACTGGAGGGTAACTTCTTACTGCTGGACAGAAAGTTAGATGGTTAGAGAGGGCGAAGATCATCTTGAATAAGTTGGAAAATGATCCTGGAATATATATATATATATATATATATATATATATATATATATATATATAATTTTATTTCAATCCTTCATAAGCTTCTGAACCTTAGGTAGGTTTAATTAATTAAGAACATCTCACTTTCGTTTATGATCGATTTCATCACGATTCTTCAGTTAAGCTTAGAGAGTAATTATATATTCTTATTGCTCCAAGTAGAGTTGAATTGTTTCATAAAAACCCATTCCAGTAAGATACCTTTAATCATTTTAAAGCTACAATGGCTCAAATCTTAATCTAACAATTGAACAATAATGCTGCTACACGATTTCGACAATTTTGCTGATACACATGCTGTATGCGCGCGCATATATATATATATATATATATATATATAAGACTATTAATAAGGATAGACCGGGCTAACGCTTTTGCACCGCTCAAAATTTTAAATTTAATTTATTTTCATAAAAAAAGTTTCCTTTGTGAAAGGATCAGACAGTAATCGTTTTTTTTTT